GTAGTCCCAACCTGACCCTAACCCTAACACTGAAACCCTGAGGCTAACCCTTACCCTCACCCTAACCCTCTATCCCTAAACCTAACTCTAACGCTAACCCTGAGATGACTAGTAACCCTAACCCTACTCCTAACAATAACCATAACCCTAACAATAACTTTTTAATCTTCTAACTCCCTAACCCTAGCCCTCACCCTAACATTAATCCTAAACCTAACACTAACCCTAACTCTAACAAAGAACCAGCTCTTGGTTTCATTGATTCTTTGAATTGTTTTCTTTGTTTCTAGTTTATTGATTTCAGCCCTGAATTTGATTATTTCCAGCTGTCTACTCCTCTTGGGTGTGTCTGCTTCTTTTTTTTCTAGGGCTTTCAGGTGAGCCATTAAGTTGCTTGTATGAGATGTTTTGAATTTCTTTATGAAGGCACCTAGTGCTATGATCTTTCCTCTTAGCACTGCTTTCATTGTGTCCCATAAGTATGGGTATGTTGTGCTTAACATTGAATTCTAGGAAGCCTTTAACTTTTTTTATTTCTTCCCTGACCTAGCTGTCATTAAGTAGAGAGTTGTTCAGTTTCCATGTATATGTAGGCTTTTTGCTATTTCTGTTGTTGAGGTCCAGCGTGGTCAAATAGGATACAAGGGATTATTTCAACCTTCCTGTATCTGTTGAAGCTTGCTTTGTGACCAACTATATGGTCTATTTTTTAGAAGGTTCTGCGAAGTGCCGAGAAAAGGGTAAATTCTTTTGTATTTGGGTGAAAAGTTCTGTACATGTCTGTTAGGTCCATTTGATTCATGGCATCTGTTAGTGTCATTGTTTCTTTGTTTAGTGTCTGTTTCATTGACCTGTCCTTTGCTGAGAGTGGGGTGTTGAAGTCTCCCACTGTTAATGTGTAGGGATTTATGTGATTTAAGCTTTATTGATGTTTCTTTTACAAATGTGGGTGCCTTTGTATTTGGGGCATATATATTCAGATTTGAGATGTCTTCTTGGTGGAAATTTCCTTTGATGAGTATGAAGTGACCTTCTTCATTTCTTTTGATTAATTTTGGTTGAAAGTCTATTTTATTAGATATTAGAATGGCTACTCCTGCTTGCTTCTTGGGTCCATTTGTTTGGAAAACCTTCTTCCAGCCCTTTACTATCTTTGGCTGAGGTGTGTTTCTTGTATACAGCAGAATGTTGGGTTCTGTTTACACATTCATTCTGTTGGTCTGTGTCTTTATTATTATTATTAAAGATTTATTTTATTATGTATACAATGTTCTGCCTGCATGTATCCCTGAATGCCAGAAAAGGGCACCAGATCTCATTATAGATGGTTGTGAGCTACCATGTGTTTTCTGGGAATTGAACTCAGGACCTCTAGAAGACCTAGCAGTGCTCTTAACCTCTGAACCATCTCTCCAGCCAAAGTCTGTGTCTTTTTATTGGAGAGTTGAGTCCATTGATGTTGAGAGAGATTAATGACCAGTGACTGTTAGCTCCTTTTATTTTTATTGTGGTTGTGGTGGTGTTTGTGTGTTTGTCTGCTCTTAGTTTTGCTGTAGTGAAGTTATTTATTTCCTGTGTTTTCCTGGATGTCGTTAGCCTTCTTGGGTTCTATTTCTCCTTCTAGTATCTTCTTTAGGGCTGGATTTGTGGGTAGGTACCGTTTAAATTTGTTTTTGTCATTGAATATCTTGTTTTCAATGTGATGATTGAAAGTTTTGCTTGGTATAGTAGTCTGGGCTGACATCGGTGTTCTCTTAGGGTCTGCATGATATCCATCCAGGCCCTCTGGCTTTCATAGTCTGTTGAGAAGTCAGATGTGATTTTTATGAGTTTGCCATTATATGTTACTTGGCCTTTTTCCCTTGCAGCTTTTAGTATTTTTTTTTCTTTGTTCTATATATTTAGTGTTTTGATTATTATGTAGCAGGAGGATTTTCTTTTCTGGTCTAATCTATTATGTGTTGTATACGCCTCTTGTATGCTTATAGGCCTTTCCTTTAAATTGGGAAAAATTTCCTCCAAGATTTTGTTGAAAATATTTTCTGGGCTTTGGATATGGGAATCTTTTTTTTTCTATTCCAATTATTTTTAGGTTTCATCTTTTCATATTGTTCTTGACTTTTTTGGATGGTTTGTGTCAGGAATTTTTTAGATTTAAGATTTTCTTTGATGGATGCATTGATTTCTTCCATTGTGTCTTCAATACCTGAGATTCTTTCTTCCATCTTTTATAATCTGTTGGAGATGCTTACCTCTGTAGTTCCTGTTTTCTTCCCTAAGTTCTCCCTCTCCAGGATTTCCTCAGTTTGTGTTTTCTTTAATGTTTCCATTTCCATCTTCAGATTTTGCTTTCCTTCACCTGTTTGTTCTATTTTCCTTCAATTTCTTCACCTATTTGTTTGAATTTTCCTCTCTTTAATTCTTTCAGTGATTTAATTATTTATGGGTTTTTATTCATTTTCCCATTTTCATCTTCATAAGCATAGATTTAAAGTCATTTTCTTGAATTTCACTTGTGTTAGGGTACACAAGTACCCTAACACAAGTACACAAGAGCTGCTTGCCCTTGGATAACTGGGTTCTGGAGATGCCATATTACATTGGCTTTTGTCAATTGTGTTTTTATCCTGGCCTTTACCCATCTAGCTGTCTCAGGCACTGGTGCCTGCTGGAGTCCTGGGGCTTAGGGGTAGTACAGGAAATCCCCTGGGCAGGAAGCTGGTTGTTCCCAAAGAAGCCCTCCTCACCTTGTTGAGTATGGACTCTGAATGGGGCTGGTCATTCTCAGGAAATTGCTGTAGCTCTCCTCAGGTGTATGCTCCTGTGGACTAACTGGGGAGCCCAGGGGCTCTCTTTTTACCAGGGGAAGTTCTGGAGACAGCTGCCCTGCCACTGGCTTTCTTGCTCTGGATTTAGTGAGCTGCTGCTGTTCATACACTGTGTTTGCTGGGCACAGCCCTCTTGAAGAACCAGGGAGCCCTGAGGTTGGGCCAGTCTCACCAGGGAAACAGGTTGAGCTTTGGAGCAGTTATCTGGGGTGATCCAGTGGCTCCCAGGAATCCATGTCTGAGGTTGGAGCTCCGTGCCCCAATACCCAGAAGGTATTCACTGGCCAGTGAGCACTGCACACAAGTGTGTAGCTAGAGGCTAGAGCCCCTGAGCCTGCGGGAACACAGGGGTTCCTAGGGGTTAGCTGGGTGCCCTGAGGTCGGACCGGATTGTTTCCCTCATGACCAGAAGACCCAGCCTGTGCTGTCTGGGGCCTGCATTTCAGTCTGGGACAGTGAGCACAGTGTGCAGTCGTGTGGCTCTGTGCTGGCAATGGAGCACCTTTGGGAAACCGGGAACTTCTCCAGGGTTTAGCTGGGTGCCCTGAGGTCGGACCCGATTGTCTCCCTCATGACCAGGAGACCCAGCCTGTGCTGTCTGGGGCCTGTACTTCAGTCTGGGACAGTGAGCGCAGTGTGCAGTCGTGTGGCTCTGTGCTGGCAATGGAGCACCTGCGGGAAACCGGGAACTTCTCCAGGGGTTAGCTGGGTGCCCTGAGGTCGGACCCGATTGTTTCCCTCAATGTTCCTTTGACCTGGGAAACACAATTGCTGGTGTTTTGGAGCCAACAGTTCAGCTACGCAGTCTCTGTGATCAGACACAGTGTGATATTGGCACCGCCGTCTTGGATTCCCTGATACTAACTTTTCATTTTGTCACTCACAGCCACTCACATTTTGATGTTAATTTTTAATTAAGCTAGGCATTGGGGAGGTAAAGGCAGAAGTTCAGGGCCATGCTACCTCCGCTACATGAGGAGTCCGAGGGCAGCCTGGGCTACACGAACCTGTCTCCAAAGGGGGGACTGAGATGACTCGGGGGATAAAGGTGCTCACTGTCAACCTGCAGCTTAAGTTTGGTGCCCTGGATCTAGGTGACAGAAGGAGAACAACGATTGCCTCAAGCTGTTCTCTGACTTCCACATGCATGCTGTGACATCCAAGCGCCACACCACAAGAATACAAACACACACACAAGAAAGAAACAGAACTTTTTTTTAAAAAACTTAAAGGGAAACATAGCAGCACAAACCATTAATCCCAGCCCTCAGGAAGCAGAGGCAGACATATTTCTGTGAGTTCAAGGCCACCTTAGTCCACATGTGAGACCTTTCTCAAACAAACAAGCAAAAACTCAAAAAACCTTTTAGTTTAATAAACATTAGTAATCGTTAAAAAAAAAAAAAAGATAAGATGGCCAGGTGTGGTTGCCCATGTCTTTCATGCCAACACTGGGAAGCAGAGGTAGGCGGATCTCTGAGTTCAAGGCCAGCATGAAAGCAAGTTGAGGACAGCAGGGATACACAGAGAAACCCTGTCTGGAAAAACCAAAACAAAAGAAAAAAGAAAGAAGAGAAAGAAAAGCAGACATCACCAGTGTCTTCCCAGATACCCTGCTTCTATTCCTACCCCAGCTGAATTCTGACTCTAAAAGCTAGTCTTGCCTGGTTTTGAGCCTTGCATAAGACACCCAATGTGTTCCCTTTCCTACCTGGCCTCTTTAACTCACTCTGTTCCTTCTGATTCACATACAGTATGACACATAATTGTAGCTTGCTCATTCTTTCTACTACAGATAGCCCATTGACTGAAAGGTAGCTTATTTGGTTCATTTTCCCAACAATGGGTTTTTGAGTAGTTTCCAATGTGGGACGGTTGCAAATAGCACCTCTTTGCCCAGGGCCAGGTCAGGTCCTTGATGTGAGTTGCAGGGAGAAAGAATTGGAGCCATTTTTCCAAGTGTTTCCCTACAGAGATCTCTGATGCCACCTTCTGGACAGGATCCACATGACACACCCAGGGGTGGCCCTCACCACCCAAGTTGTTCTCAAGATCTAAGATTGGACCCTGACCCTACCTGGAAGCCACACCCTGACCCTATAACCTGGTTGGTGGTATTAAGCCACCACCCAGGCCACCCTTGTAACCATAGTTCTAACTCATGCCCCTGGTTCCTGGAAGCCTGGGTAGGTTAGGGATCTCAAAGGTTAAGGGGACATCTCTCATCACCCCCGTGGTCTATATAGCTACAGGGTGGGCTCCTCCTAGACCTGGATCAATTGTGACCCCTGTATGGCAGCTGCTTGGGGAACCTTTATGGGAGCCCCGTGTCCTAATGAGGAAGGCCCATAGCAGCCTCCCTGGCCCCGCCCTGCTCAGACCTGTTCTCTTTTCACCACCTCCATTCCCCAAGGCCACCCAGCACCAGCCACAGCCTGCTTGCCTTCCTACCTGTCACTCTCGACAATCAAGGCTCTCAGCAGAGGTCTGGGGCAGCACGGGCCATGGAAGCCTCCACAGGGGCCGTGCTTTACCAAAAGCTGCAACTCTGGGAGCCTGGCATGGAGTCAGGGGGGGAAGAAGAGGAAGAAACAGCAGAACCTCTGGTTCTCTCCCTAAGAAGACTCCAAAATAACCCCCGGTGAGTCAGCAAGGGCCTGGGAACCCCATAACTCAGACCGGAAGGCTGGCAAGGTCCTCTCTCTGGATCCCCTAAGCGGGATCAGGCAATCCACACTTGGCTGAGCTCCAGGGACTTTCTACATGAGCGGGAGAGGGGGCTGCAGACCCAACATGGCACCGAGCCACTCAAAGAAAGATCTGTCTCTTGAGAGGTGTTTCTATTAAGCTGGTCCCTATCCTGTCCCAGCTTTGCCAGCCTCACCCCACGCCCATGCAACAGCACCTGCTGAGCAGGTTGGGACCTGGCTACACCTGGCTGAGCCCTGCTCCTCAGCCTCCTCTTTCCTGTGTGCCAATCCTCTTCTAGGCTTCCTTCTGACTGCCTGGTTCTTTCTTCCCCCAGCTCTTTGGTAGACACTCCCTCCAAGCCAGACTGCTTCTCCAGCTTTTCCCACATCTGTGTCTTTGTCAATTCGGTCCCCTGGGCCTGGACTCTCTCTCTTTCTCTCCTTGGCCAGTTTATACTCTTGCAAAACCAAACATTTTGGGAAACATTCATTGAATCCTCTTGGGATTCTTGGGTGCTCCTCTACCCCACCCTGCCTCAGGACTCCTCTTTCTACAGAAACCAGGTTGGTGGGCTGCCCGGAGCCTGGGCCCGCCTGCTGGCAGGCCTGCTGCTGCTGGCTGTTAGTGGCTCCCTGGCTCTGAGGCAGCTGCACAGGAAGGATAGCCCAAAAGGAAACTTGGGCCCTGCAGCCCCTCCAGCCAGCAGACACTCTCATCGCCCTGGTGTGTTCCACCACAGTGCCATTATCAGCCCCGCAGGTCAGTGCTTGGGAAGGGAGTGGGGGTTAGTGGTCCAGGGCACCTCCCCATCACACACAGACCTTTCCTTACTGCAGCCACGTGTTCCCAACTGGGCCAAGAGCTGCTTGTTGCTGGAGGCAGTGTCGTGGACGCTGGAGTTGGAGCAGCTCTGTGTCTGGCGGTGGTACATCCTCATACAACAGGGCTAGGTCAGTGTGATCTGTGGGCCCTCAAGACAGACTCCAACCTGGGGTCCGGTCAGCGACCTGGAACTCATTCGGGCATTCAATGGCTATTACCTCAAGATTAGCTAGTGAGTAGGACATAGGATCTGAGCACCAGGCTTAGTCTTGGGTGACCTTTGACCCCAGGCCTGGTTAGTAACTCCTGATTTCAGGCTTAGTCAGTGACCTCTATTGCAAGCAAGATAGTGACTTTCCACCTGGGACTGCTAGAGGATCCTGACCCCAGTTCTGGCCAGTGTCTCTGACCCCTGTGTGGTTTCTATGTCTCCCAACAGGTGCCATGTTCTGGGGTCTCTTCTACAATAGTTCCTCAGGAAACTCAACTGCCCTGACAGCAGGTCCAGCCCAAATCCTGGCCCCTGGCCTGGGGCTGCCCACAGCTCTGTCTGCCCTGCACTTGCTTCACACACACTTCGGCCGCCTGCCTTGGCCACACTTGCTGGCCAAGCCTGCCATGCTGGCTCTAAAGGGCTTTGAGGTAGATGCGTCCCTGGCCAGCGCACTAGCAGCTCAGGGCTCAAAGGGGCTCTGCCCACTGTTCTGCCATGCCAATGGGACCCCACTGGGTCTTGGGGCTCTAGCCACCAATCCCAACCTAGCAGCTGTGTTGCACAGAGAGGCCCTGGCCTCCGGCCCGGATCTTGCTGGAAGTGCCTTGCTGAATCTGCTGGTCAAAGACCTGGGGCTAGAAGAGCCACCTGCTCAGCCCATGCCCTCCCTGGAGCCTGCACTGCAGCTTCTCATGCCACAGGGCGTCCTGTTCACTACTCCTGGCCCCTCAGCAGGCCCCAGACTCCTGAAACTGCTGGAGTCGACCCTTCACTCCAGCACACCCAGCCCTGCTTTCTGCCCATCACACCTGCAAATGCCTAAGACTCCAGTGAGCAGTGCCCTAGCCAGCGTGGACAGTAGTGGCTCTATGCTCCTTCTAACCTCCTCAATCAACAGCGTCTTTGGCTCTGGACACCTGTCCCCAAGCACTGGCGTTCTGCTCAGCAGCCTGGTAGCCAGCTCTACACCGAGTGCCTGGGCTTGCCCACTCATTTTCCGTGGCAGCTTGGATGACACAGAAGCCAATATGTTGGGGCTGGTGGCTTCAGGGGCCCCCAGAGAGGCTAAGGCCATGACTTGCACCTTGCTCAATCATCTGACAGTACCCCAAATCCAACAGCAGCCCCAGCATCAAAGCCAACAAAGACCCACAGAGAGCCCTGGCATTTGTGGTCAAGGGACCCTACTTCAGGTGGCAGTCCATTCAGAACACGCCTATGTCTCCAGTGTCCCCAATGGCTGCAGCCCCTTTCGGGGGTATTAACAGAGGGGCAGAGCCTGGAGGGGGCAGAGTTGTCTGGAAGCCAAGGGCCAGACAGAGAAGGCCTGGCAGCAATGAATGCGTAAAGAATGTATCTGTGATGTGTTTGCTGCTCTACCAACCTGCCTGCCATCCTGTTCTGGTATCCGACTCTAGCTCTGGCACCCAGGACTGGTCCAGTCATGTTTCCTGGTACCTGTACTGATGGAATTCCTGGCTTTTTTTTTTTTTTTTTAAATCAAATTATGGACCCAGGGAGTGACAAACAGAGCCTGAGTGCAACGCCCTTCAGGAAAGTTCACTGCAAGGACATTGATACGCACTTCAGCCCCTGTGCAGTGTTTGGCAGCGTGGGAAGCTCCATCTTCCACTGGATCATTTCTGCTGCTCTTTACCAGTTGGAATGGAAGCTAACTTTCTCAGTAACCTTTGAGATTCCTGATGCCATGGGCAGCACAGATGATGAACACCAGACACAGATGGAGCCTGGCCTGGTCTCTTTCAGCTTCTCTTGTTCCATGCACCTTCTGCTTCCTGTGTTCCACCTGTGCAAGGTAAATCTCTTAGTTTCACATGTGGAGCAGATGGTGGAGAAGTGTTGGGAAAGTCAATAGGAGGTGCCCTAAGTACAAAAGGGCTGGAACTGGGTTGGCCCTGCCCTTCCCTGAGATCTCTTGGATACAACTCTCTAGAAATAGTTCTTCAGACCTAGGGCAAGGACATCCAGTAGTACTTCCCCTACCTGACAAAGTAAAAGGCACTCTGGTTTAATGTTTTGAGGGTTTAATATTTTAATTAAAACATTGTTATTTTATGTGTGTGAGTGTTTTGACTACGTATGTGCATGTGCAGCACATGCATGCCGGGTCTAAGGAGCTTTGGCTCCCCTGGAACCGGTGTTACAGTGACACCGGTGCTGGGGACTGAACCTAGGTCCTCTACAGTAGTAGTAAGTGCTTTTAACTCATGAGCAGATCCCCAGCCTCTATAATTTTGGGGTTTTGTTTGTTTGGTTGGTTGGTTTTGGTTTGGCTTTTCTTTTGTTTTTTCTAGACAGGGTTTCTCTGTGTAGCCTTCGTTGTCCTGGACCAAACCAGGCTGGCCTCAAACTCACAGAGATCCTCCTGCCCCCTGAGTGCTAGGATTAAAGGCGTGAGCTACCACCACCTGGCAAGAACTTTGTTTTTTAAGGCAGAGTCTCACTAAGTAATCCAGTCTGACCCAGGCACTAGGATTACATACATGGGCTACCAACACACTCAGCTAATTATTTTGTTTTGTTGAGCTGGGGATCAAATTTAGAGCCTTGCCATGCTTAGCAGCTTAGCAGGTACTCTACAACCATACCATGTCCCCAAACCCAAGCTAGTAGAACTGTTGATTGCACCCTCTCCACCTTTCTCTCAAACAAAACACCCCTAGACTCAAAGATTCCACCATCTTCTCAACTATTGTAGCTTTTAGCCTGGCATCCTCTCTAGTTAATCTCCTTTCAGCTTGTTCATTACTCATCCTGAGCAGTGCCAGATTAGCCCAGTTCTGACTCCAGCCGAATTCACTCTCTGTATTTACAGCCACAGGCCATGCCTGCTCAGCCAATAGTTGCCTTTTTTAAAAATGTAAATTCTTCCCTCCACACAGGGAAGAAATTTTGAGCCTGGCCTGGGGTCCTAAACAACCTTGCTTCCCAGGCACCTGTGCCGGCATCCCCTAACTGACCTCACTCCCTTATCTTCAGAAATGAGGGACCTTTGAAGTAGAAATGTCCTTGGCCTGTTCTTTTGTCCCCTCTTCAGTTTTTTTTACCCTGGCAAACAGTTGAGTCCATCTTGTCCCTCAGCTGTCAAGCCCACGTGTCACAGTCTTAACATAGTCTCATCGAGTTACCATTCTTTGAAATAGTATCTTAGCATCTATTGAATTTTCCTTTTAATTTTTGTTGTTGTTGTTTTCCTCGAGACAGGGTTTCTCTGTGTAACAGCCCTGGCTGTCCTGGAACTCTTCTTGTAGATTCGTCTGCCTCTGCCTCCCAAGTGGTGGTATTAAAGGCGTGAACCACCACACCCGGCATTTTTTTTTAAACAGATATTTTCACGTACTTTAACATTTAAAGGGCTCCCTCTGCGCTCCGCCTTTTTTACTTTCCTCATAATTGTAGTTTTAAATGTATTCGGCTACTTCAACCATCTCTTCCTACTAAAAAGGAAGTGCACGGAAGCCGTGGCTTTGTCCCCGAGCACCCAGCAGACGCGGAAGAGCTGCTGCACGAGTCTCGGAACACCTCCCGAGCAGACCCGGGTCCGGGAGGACGTACTGAGGCTTTGTCGCGGACTGCCAGCTCCGCCGCTGGTCCGCAACGCCTCCAGCGTGAAGGAAGCGGCCCACCCCGCAGTCCCCACGCACGAGGGACGCCCGGACGCTGCTCCACCCACGGCCCCACCAGAAAGGCGGGGCGCTCCCGGCCGACCCGCCAGGCCCCGCCCCTGCCGGCCCTCCCAGTGCGCACGCGCCAAGCCCTGACCTGGAAGAGACCGTCTGCCGAGCCCACGTGTTCCGTGCAGCATGGCGGAGATGAAGAGCCCCTCGAAAGCCGAGCCTGCGCCTGCCGCAGAATCTCCCCAAGGCGACCGCCGCGGTCTGCTGGAGCACAGCCGCGAGTTCTTGGACTTCTTCTGGGACATCGCGAAGCCGGAGCAGGAAACGCGGCTCCAGGCCACGGAGAAACTGCTGGAGTACTTGCGCACAAGGCCGAGTGTATGATGGCGGGGCCTGGACGCCTTCGCGGTAATGGGGCAGGGGCGGGCCCCTCAGGTCACTGTTGAACACAAGGGATGTTCTTGGTTCCGCAGGGCTCAGAGATGAAATACGCCCTGAAGCGCCTGATCACTGGGCTTGGGGTGGGCCGAGAAGCCGCTCGGCCGTGCTACAGTCTCGCGCTGGCACAGGTGAGGCGGTGCGTCTGAGCAGAAGGTGGGGGTGTAAGGATGGGGGCCATCGCAGCTGCAGGGTCAGGAGAAATCGGGGAAATGCTTTTAGCGGATGCAGGCATAGGTGGGAGGAGGCACCCAAGCACGGCCTATCTACAGCACAGTCCAGGCCGGTGGGAAGTTTGAACAAGTCTTCTCTCTGATACATGTTTATCAGGGGTGTTGGCTACAGTTACTGGAAGTAGGGAGTTTTGAGGTTGGCTTCTGCAAGGTTGGGTAGCTAAGTTAGGAATGTAGCTGTCGACAGGCTACTTAGAAATTTGTACAACAAAGCAATGAAGACTCAAAGCCTCAGCCTCAAGGCAGCTCTGAGCAGGATCAATGGGTAGGATGGAATTTTCAAGAGGTACAGGTGAGCAGCCTTGGCCTTCTGAAGACCTTGGTGGAGACAGGGCTCTTGAAAGCATGATATGCTGCTTTGGCACTTATGGTAGGGGAAGGGAGTAGTGATTACACGGGGAAAGCTGAAGACAGGAAGTAGACTTGGCGGAGGGTCGCTTCTTGGGGCATTCCTCTGAGCATGTTTTGGTCTTGCTGGCAGCTGTTACAGTCTTTCGAGGACATCCCCTTGTGCAGCATCCTGAGTCAGATACAAGAGAAACACAATCTGCAGAGCGTGAACAAGGTGAGTGTGGGCCCAGGCAGGCCAGCTTGCCCCGAGCAGGTGTGGGGCGTCCTCACGAGTGTTTGGGATCTTCTTTCAGGCAATGATGAGACCCACTCTCTTTGCAAACCTGTTTGGAGTGCTAGCCCTCTTTCAGTCAGGCCGCCTGGTGAAGGTAAGGGCTTGGGATACAGGAGGCACAGGCTGGCTTAGGGGTGTTGGGAAACTGGGGTGCCCCATTCACACTCTGCTTTCTGTGCGTACTAGGACCAAGAGGCCCTGATGAAATCAGTGAGATTGCTGAAGATCCTGTCCCATCACCACAACCATTTGCAGGGCCAGCCAATGAAGGCCCTGGTGGACATCCTATCTGAGGTGCGGGATCACGGTCATGCTGTCTGTTTTTGGAAACATTGAGATTTGGGTTGACATACGGGAACATGAGGACAGATGGTAACCATGCATATAAGGAGCTGTAGATACTTTTACATTCCTTTTTCTGTGATGTCTTATATCCAAGCATGTCTTTCAGGTTCACAGTACATCTCTATTCAGTTAGGCACTTAAAATGCTCCATAACCCTCTATGGTGTTATCTTTGGATAGTGAGGGTCTGGAACAGTGCTTGCAATGTCTGAATATATAGAAGACAATCTAAATACATTTGCCATAGTTATTTTGGCCAAGCTCTGGTCTGTACTGTCTTCCCTGGGAGACTGAGGCAGTTTTGTATCCAGAATTCTTTGCCAGTAGCTCACCCCAGATTTGGCCTTTCTGCACAAATGAAGAAGGACCAGAATTCAAGTTGCAGTTTCCACATAGGACCCTTGTCTATGAAACAGACCGGTCCTCTAAAAATCAAAAGAGGAATAATTTTAAGTGCAGCCTCATGCCAGTTAGCCCTCAGTAGTAGGATGCTTGGAGATTGTGTGGGTGTGTGGTTGGGGAAGGGGACAGTGCTTTCCTATGGGTCCGATGCTTAGCAAATTGGTTGACTAGTGTTATATCAAAAGCCCGTTTGTAGAGGAAGAAACCAGGGTGCTGGGAGAGCTACCCTCTCCACCCACTCTCCCGCTCCAGGTCCCAGAGTCCATCTTCCAGGAGATCCTGCCGAAGGTCCTCAAGGATGACTTGAAAGTGATCCTCAGCTCCCCTAAGCACTTGGAGCTCTTCCTTTTGGCTCAGCAGAGGGTACCAACAAAGCTCGAGTCGCTGATGGGCACTGTTGACCTGTTCTCAGAAGCAAATATTCCCAGGTTTGAGGAAAGTGTGGGTGGGCTCTTGGTGGAAGTGCCCTGAACTCCTAGTCCTCCAGGCAGTGTTTGCTCAGTCCTCTCTGCCCTCTAGTCTGGTGAACATACTGAAGGTGGCGGCCAACTCTGTGCGCAAGGAGCACAAGCTACCCGACGTGGCTCTGGACCTGCTCCGCCTGGCACTTAAGGAAAACAAGTTCACAGTGTTCTGGAAGGAGGTTTTGGAGGAGGGGCTGCTGAAGAAGCCCTGCTGGACATCCAGGTGTGTGTAACACTAGCCTCCTCTCCCCACCAGCCTGGGTGGACCCTGTCCTGAAACCCGCCCAAAAGAACAGGCTGTCTGAGCAACCTCTGCCCCAACCCTTCTTAGCTACATGTGTTTCCGCCTGCTGGGTGCATCCCTGCCCCTGCTGTCAGAAGAGCAGCTGCAGCTGGTAATGCGGGGAGACTTGATCCGCCATTTTGGGGAGCACATGGTGATTTCTAAGGTAGGTGTCATCCCGTCCCAAAGGCCAGACACTGGGTTCTTTCTCTGATGATAATGGCAGGACAGGGGACTTGACAAGAGTTTGGCCCTTTAGTCCTGAGACCCACTCACCAGCAGGTCCAGCCAGCCATCTATTTGGAACACTGCTGGGGTCACACTAGTTATGACCCCAGTGTGTTCTGCATTTTTGTGCCTTTTTCCCACAAGACAATGTGCAAAGGGTTGTCAGAAAGCAAATATCCTGCTGCTTGGCACATAGGTAGTAATCATGAAAATTGGTAGGTATTGGTCTATCAGGATTTGAACCTAGGTTCCCCCCATGCCACATTAAACCAGGAAAACACCTTGTCTTCAGTCTTTCAGGCAGAATGGCAGCCTTCTTGTGCTGGGGGTATAGAAATTTGAGGGACCAAAGATAGGTCTTAGTGGAAATGTTAGAATCAGCCCTGTTGTGTACCAGTACAGGCGAAGTCGTGGGGTTAAGTATAGGGGAGAGGTAGGAAGGCCGTGGTGCCTGCCTTTTCACATTGGTAACCCAAACTCATGCTCATCTCTTGCAGCCCCAAAACCTGTTCAAGTTCATCCCAGAGATAAGTACATATGTGGGTACCTTCCTCGAAGGCTGCCAGGATGACCCTAAGCGGCAGTTTGCTATGATGGTAGCCTTTACGTCCATCACCAACCAGGGTCTCCCCGTTATGCCTACCTTCTGGCGTGTCACGCGGTTTTTGAATACTGAAGCCCTGCAGAGCTATGTGTCCTGGTTGCGGGACATGTTCCTCCAGCCTGACCTGGATGCCTTGGTTGACTTCAGCACTGTCAACCAGAAGAGAGCTCAGGACGCCTCGATCAATGTGTATGTAGAGGGGGCTTCAGACTAGAGGAGGAAGGAGGAAAGTTAGCTCTTGATGGCGGTCTTCGTGTGTCCTGACTGATATTTGGAGGCTGGCAGGGTGGGGGGTGGTCCTGCCACATGTTTGACTTATGTGACCTCTGCTCCCAGGCCTGAGCGATCTGTGTTCCGGCTCCGGAAGTGGATCATCCATCGTCTAGTCAGCCTTGTGGACCATCTGCACCTGGAGAAGGATGATGCTGTTGTTGAGCAAGTAGCCAGGTGTGTGAGGGACATGCCCAGCAGGTGGCATGGCTGTCCTTGTTTGGGTTCTCCTGGAGCCAGTAGCCTTTGGGTTAAGTTGTTAGTGGGGACTTAGGGGGTACCTTAGCCAGTGAGGGAAAGAAACCCAGAAAATCTACAGCTGTGGAGCCCCAAAGGTTCAGGCTTGGTCCATCCATGGATCGATCCTTTGGACAGCTTTGCCCACAGTAGCTGCATCTGTGTTGGCTCCGGGGAGCAGCTCTGGTTCTGGCAACACCTTACCTGTGTTCGAGGGTGACACTGGGGAAATGGCCCTTGCAGCTGAGTCTTACCTGTGCCGCTGCTGGTTTGTGCCCAGGTTTTGCTTGTTCCACGCCTTCTTCAAGACAAAGAAGGCCACTCCCCAGATCCCAGAGACAAAGCAGCGCTTCTCCTTTCCTTTGGACAACCGGAACCGGGGGTTCATCATTGGTGCCTTCTTCAGGTAGGCCTGGGCCGCCCAGGAGATGGGGGTGCTTGTTCTTTCCTAAGCTGCAATCAAGGTCAGAGAACCTCATGGGTCCAAGGGTTGGATGTACTAGTATAGTCTTGTGAACCTGATCTCCCCTTACGCAGCCTGCTACAGACCCTCAGTGTGAAATTCAGGCAGATGCCAGACCTGGCTGAAAGTGGGAAGCCCTGGACGCACCGCCTGGTGCAGTTGGCAGACATGCTCTTGAACCACAGCCGAAACGTAACCATCGTGACACCCTTCACAACACAGCAGCGCCAGGCCTGGGACCAGTGAGGGCGAGGGATGTCTTGGGGTGGAGGAGGGTGCCCTGTCTGCCTGCCAGTGGGGCTCACGTGTATGTCCCTGTCACCGTTCAGGATGATGAGTACTCTGAAGGAACTAGAAGCCCGCTCCTCAGAGCCTAAGGCCAGTGCCTTCCAGCACCTGCTGCTTCTAGTGGGCCTCCACCTCTTCAAGGTACTGTGGCGCTGAGCTCTGAGGCACCGTGGGCTTTCCCTCCTGAGAGGCTTGGGGGGGCAGTGCGAGGTGGAGATTGAAGTTAGATTCCCTAGGCCAGCCCAGCCCTGCATGAAAGTTACAGCATGGGGGAACCACTCCATCCTCTTGAACACTGGTCAGCATCCCACGTTCTCCACCCGGGTTGCCCTCTGCAGGTGCCAGAAGCAGAATAGACCACTTTGGGCCACACCTGGTGGCCAAGACAGTTCCTCCTAGATAGGATTTACGGATTGGAAGTGATGGGTTATGAGAGAAAGTGTTGCCTTCTGCAGGAGGGAGGCCAGTATGGCATGTAGGGTGCTTGCCCAGAAAGGGCTCCCGGGCTTCTTTATGTAACTGAGGGCTTCCTTCCACCCCGGGCAAGGGACAGTCATGGCTGAGGTTAATGTTTCCCAAAAAAGACTCTGGCCTGCTCCAGTTTCCCAGTGCATCATTTTCTGCAGTTTGTTTGCGCTCTAGGCTGGGCCCTCCAGTACCACACTGTCTTCCTCTCTGGTTTGCTTTAAGAAGCTTAAATTATATTTTGTATGGTGTTGTGTGCTACAGTGCACATGTGGAGGTCAGAGGACAACTTGGGGAATCTACTCTCCACCATGTGGGTCCCGGGGACTAAACTCAGGGCGGCAGGTCTGGCAGCAGGTGCCTTTGCCTTGAGTCATCTTGCTAGTCCCCTGAGCTCTCTTACCAGTGCTACTTGAGGTCTTAGTGGCCTGAGGATGCACGACTCTTTTGGCTACGTGGCTATAGAATTTGCTTCTGGTGCTTGTTAGCAACAATCCTGTGGTTTTCAGATATGTGTCCCCAGACCCTCTGCATCTCTGAACTTGACTGGCAGAAAAAAAAACTGCAGTTCAGGTTTATCAAACCCTTGGAGAAAAGGCACAACCCAGAGAGCAGATCCCTGCCAGTTCTCAAAGCCAGGGAGTTAGAGACTGCTGGCCAAGGCTTGGGTTCCTGCCTCTGCTCACAGTACTGTTAGGCAAAGAGTGTTTTCTTGGTACCCAAGCATATCCCCAGCAAGATGCAGTTAAGTTTAATTAAAACTAATGGTTTTCAAGTTCTGTATCTAAAACCAAGATGCAAGGATAGATCAGCATGGTGGGGTCGGCATTTGCTAGTCCTGTGGCCCAGGTGTCCTTTTCAGCCTTGACTGTGGGTGGTAATGGGGGACTTGGCCTCCATGGTCTTCTGATTATATATAAGGTGTGAAAAGGCTCTTGGGGTGCCTATTCTGAATGGTAAGGGTGATTGGCCAGCATAGGCCAGTGTCTGGCATACATTCCTAAGGACTGATTCCAGTTCCTCTCTGACATCTGTTTTGTCCTGCCTACAGTCTCCTGAAGAGGCCTGTGATGTCCTAGGTGACATCCAGACTTGCATCAAGAAAAGCATGGAGCAGAATCCCCGCCGATCACGCTCTAGGGCCAAAGGTATGTCATTGCCCCTGGGGCAGGCTGGGTAACCAGGTTGTAGCCATGGAGCCTGTTTAACCTAAATCTGCTTTCCCATTTGTAGCCTCCCAGGAGCCAGTGTGGGTGGAGGTGATGGTGGAGATCTTGCTGTCCTTGCTGGCTCAACCCAGCAACTTGATGCGCCAGGTGGTCCGGAACGTATTTGGCCATATCTGTTCCCACCTTACTCCACGTGGTCTGCAGCTAATCCTGGCTGTGAGTTAGGGCCTTTGGAGAGATAGATTATGAGATGGGTCCACTGAGGTGTGGGAGGGTGGCATCTTCCCATCCTCTGCCGCATCACGATTGGGTACCGTTCTACCCAGGCCATCTTCATAGGCTCATCAAAAGACACTCCTTTTTCTCCCTGGGGTGGTGGGGGCCTCTGGCCAACATAGAAGAGACTGCAGGAGTGGCCTGAGGAAGGTGGTCAGTTAGTCAGGGCGGCAGGTACAACTGTGATCTGGGATTTATTCTCAGGTCCTCAACCCTGAGAAAAATGAGGATGAGGATGACAACCTGGTGGTCACTGATGATACCGATGAGAAGCAGCTGAAGCATGGAGAGGTACTTATCAGTGAGGTTCGGGCAGGGTAGGGTGAATGGCTAGAGAAGCTGTATGGTGTCATTAAGGTGTGACTTACCTGCCTCCCACCCACAGGAAGAAGACTCAGATAGTGAGGACAATAAGAGCTCAGCGAGTGATGCGGAGAGCGTGGAGAGCGAGGATGGGGAAGAGAGTGAAGAAGAGGACCGTGATAAGGATGTGGACCCAGGCTTCCGTCAGCAGCTAATGGAAGTGTTGCAAGCTGGGAATGCACTGGTGAGCAGGAGCCGGGGGGGGGGGGGGGGTGTCCACCCACCCAGGGCCAGGCTGATGGCTGTGCTTCTGTGCCTCAGGGTGGAGTGGACGATGAGGACAATGAGGAGGAGCTTGGGGATGAGGCCATGATGGCCCTTGACCAGAGCCTGGCCAGCCTCTTTGCAGAGCAGAAGCTGCGCATCCAGGCCCGGCAAGAGGAGAAGAACAAGGTGCAGAAGGAGAAGAAGCTCCGGCGGGACTTCCAGATCCGGGTGAGTGTGCAAGTAGTTGCTAGGCACCCTGAGCTGCCCCTGCATGAGCTGACTCCCAGCCTTCTGGCCGTAGGCACTAGACCTGATCGAGGTGCTGGTGACCAAGCAGCCTGAGCACCCCCTGATCCTTGAGCTACTTGAGCCACTGCTGAACATGATCCAGCACAGCATGCGCAGCAAAGGCTCCACCAAGCAGGAGCAGGACCTCCTGCACAAGACTGCCCGCATCTTCATGTGAGTGTCCATGCCCCTGGCGAACACAGAGCCCTGGCTAGCCTTCTTTCTCATGTTTGTGCTCCCTGTGCAAAAACTAGGGGTCCTGAAGCTCTGGTCCCATCCCAGCCATCAGTGTTAAGCTGGCTGGGAGTTCTGACAGGAGGGTAGGGCTGTCTTCACCCAACCCTGTGCCAGTCCAGATCACTGCGTGTTCAGACACTATCTGGTTTGTCCCTGCCCCACTGTGTCCCTGTCCCTGAGAGGGACATAGGAGAGGTCTAAGGCCACTGTCCCACAAGACAGATCCAGACAAGAGAGGTGGGCCAGGTCAGAGGCATCAAGGCTCTGTCCACCTCTAAGTTGGTTTCCTAACCTATGCCGTGGGACCTAGGGTTGTTCTTGCTGTTTGTGGCAGAGCAGAGTGGGGGGCCACCTTTTGACCAACTTTGCCTTGCCCATCCCCAGGCACCATCTGTGCCGTGCTCGCCACTACTGCCACGAGGTGCAGCCCTGTGCAGAGGCTCTGCATGCCCAGGTGGAACGGCTTGTGCAGCAGGCCGGAAGCCAGGCTGATGCCTCAGTCGCCCTTTACTACTTCAATGCCTCTCTGTACCTGCTGCGAGTCCTCAAGGGCAACACCACTAAGAGGCACCAAGATGATCAGAAACTACAGGGCACTGACACCAAGCCTGAACCCACGGACTCGAAGGTGAGTCGGGGTCCAACCCAGGCCATTTCCAGCGAGCACTTGAGGCCAGTTCTTGCCCAGGACTCCTTCCGGTCTCACCCTGGGTCTCTCACCAGGACCACACTGCCAACTGCTTGGACTTGGACTTTGTGACCCGGGTGTACTCAGCAGCACTGAAATCTCTTCTGAGCAAGCGTAACAGCCCACTCACTGTCCCCATGTTCCTCAGCCTCTTCTCCCGATACCCAGTAAGTGCAGAAGCCAGCCTGCCTCATGGGAACCCTGCCCAGCCCAGTCCCCAGCTAATGGCTCCTGTCCTTCCCCAATCCCTAGGTGATCTGTAAGAACCTGCTTCCTATCCTGGTACAGCATGTGGCTGGTCCATCACGGCCCCGCCATCAGGTAAGGGTCTGTCTGAATCACTTGTGCAGATCTTCTCACTGAGTCCTAAGATGCCTGCTTCACTGACCTTGGCTGTGCTCAGGCACAGAGGAACTGAAGGTACCTTGCTGTCTTGCCAAGGCCTCCAGCTCTGCTGAGATCTCATCTCTGGCCTGCACAAGAAGGCATCCCCTGTCTGCTTAGATGCCTGGGTTCTCAGGGAGATAGTATGAAGTCAGTAAGGACCAGAGCTCCAAATATGAGGTCTTGCTTCAATCCAGTTGGAACCAGTCTTTGCAGGCCTCAGCAGCCCTTTTCCCATATACAAAGAAAAGTGTTGATTTTAAGGCCCAGCACAGGCAGCCTCCTAAGGTTGTGTGGGTTCCTAAGCCTTGGCCCAACATTCTGGGGGGCTCCAGCTGACTACATTATCTTTGCTCAGGCCCAGGCCTGCCTGCTGCTCCAGAAGACCCTGTCTGCACGGGAGCTGAGAGTATGTTTTGAGGATCCTGAGTGGGAGCAGCTGATTGGCCAAGTCTTGGGAATGGTCACCCAGGTAATAACTGTGACACTATTCCTGGGAGCTTGAGGCTCCAGACATTTCCTTTCCCTGGGCCACTGTTATATGTGGGGTGTAGAAAGGTGTGGAGTTGTTTTCAGGGGTGCCTCAGTGTTGGCCTTCCTCCATAGAGCCTGCAGACACTTGGGGAGGCCCAAAGCAAAGGGGAGCACCAGAGGGAGCTGTCCACCTTGGAGCTGCTGAACACGCTCTTCAAGACAATCAATCACGAGGTAAGGGAGGTAAGGCAGCTGTCCAGATGGAATGCACAGCACCTCAGGGTGCTGACAGCAATCCTCTGGGGAGGAAGCCCACCAGCTGTGTGGCCTGGGAGCCACATGGAGGAGCTTCAGGGGGATGAATCTGGCCTTTCAAAAGATTAGAGCGCCACTGTCTTGATAGAAGTGATTGGTTTCAAAGGGTGGAGGGCCACATCTGGACCTGGAAGATTGGGGGTGTCACTGTGTGCCAGAAAGAAAGCCAAGAAGGAAGGCTTTAGTGACCATGAGAAGAGTCAGGTGGGCAGCACTTTGGAAGGAGGCCAGATTTCCAGGCTCAGAATACAGGGGCAGGGAGGAATGGTGAGACTAAGACCAGGAAGGGGCAGGACTTACTCAGGGCCCATCAGGGTAGAGGCCAGGAGGCCACTGGAGATGGGCATCCACTTCTGCAGGTGACTGAGGAGCTCCAAAAGCACAGCCACAGGTCCCTGGCTATGGAAAGGGAGGGGCTCTTGTTTCCTCTACCACAGAGGGACTAGTGACTTAGAGACAAGAGTGGCTAAGGACCCAGAAGCAAGTGGGAAGACCCAAAAGCTGGCTAGAGGCCAGGCCATCCACTGCTACTACAGGCTGCCTTTTCTCTGCAGAAGCTGTCTGTGGACCTCACTACTCTGTTGGCCTTGCTGCAGAGCAAGCAGCAGAGGCTGCAGCAAAACCTACAACAGGGGAATCACTCCTCTGGCTCCAACCGCCTCTACGACCTCTACTGGCAGTCCATGAGGATGCTAGGAGTACAGTATGTTCTGGGAGAGGGACCCACACCTATGGAATATAGCTGAAAAGACCCTCACCAATACTGGTTTTTCTCTCTTCTCTTTTCTCCCCTCTCCCTGTCTCCTTATAGGCGTCCCAAGTCAGAAAAGAAGAATGCCAAGGATATTCCTATTGATACCCAGAGTCCCATTAGCATGAAGCGAAAGAAAAAGGGATTCTTGCCGGAGACCAAGAAGCGAAAGAAGCTGAAATCTGAAGGCACCACACCAGGAAAGGATGCTGCCCCGGGGCAGGGTGCAGTACCAGGGGATGCCGCGCCAGCTGCCACTGGTCAAGACCAGACCCCCAGCACAGGCAAGAAGAAGAGGAAGAGGATGAGGATGAGGGCCAACACCCCATCCCAGGTGAATGGGACACCTGGGGCCAAGTGTCCAACTCCCAACAACCCCACCGTAAGCCCCAACACCCCTGCCAAGACCCCAAAACTTCAGAAGAAAAAAGGGAAGCTGTCACAGGTGAATGGAGCCACTCCTGCGTCCCCCATAGAGCCTGAAGGCAAAAGGCACCATCAGAAGGCTCTGCCCACAAAGGTCGTAAGAAAGTCCCCCCAGTCTGCCCTACCACAAAAAAGGGCCAGGCTGTCTTTGGTCAGCAGGAGCCCCAGCCTGTTACAGAGTGGGGTCAAGAAAAGGAGAGTGGCCAGGAGGAAAGTTCAGACACCTTGAGTGTGGTGTGTGGTCTGTTTTCCCCCTGCCTTCACCAGCCCCAGAGACTCCTATTTTTTCACCAATATTTTAATAAAGAAGCCATGATGGATGGTACCAGTCTCTTGGCTTTGGGAAGTGGGTACTGCCCCTCCCCAAGATGTTCACTGGAGAGCCACCCAAACATTTAAATAGGTTTATTTCTTCATTTACAAGAGGAATATATATTTGGCTTCTCTCTTAAGACTCTGAAATTCACAATCAGCAGCTCTAAAAAATAAAGGAGCAGTTCAGCTTCCGGAAGGAAGAGGAGGCAACACTTGGACCTGGTTCTTGTACAACAAGAAAACATCGCTGGGGCCCCTGCTGGGATTAGGGAGGGAGCCAGGCTGGTCTTTAGAGCTAGCACCCTCTGCCCACCCACATCCAAACCCTTAGGGTGCCCCAGAACTTGTGGGGTTGGTACCACTATGCCACTAAAGCCACAGTCAGCAAGTGGGGGACAGCCACAGGGACTGTTGCCCAAGCTGGTTCTAGAAGTTTCCTGTAGGTTACAACGGTACCACAGGACCAGAGCCAGCTCGGTCACGACGTGCAGGGAGTGTGAAGCTGGGGATAAGTGCCCAGAGGTGGCTAAGGTGGCTGCAGACAAGTGAAGGGTATATGGGTAAAAGCCTGCCCCACGAGTCAATTGGAGTATGCGCAGTCTCCAGCAGTTAAATACCCTAGGTCAAGAAGCAGTATGGACAGCTGGGAACTGCCTTCGGCAGCCGATCTGACTAATTGGAAGGGCTATGGTGGTCATCCTTTAGGAGAGGGGGGCTTCTGGGGGGGCTACAGGGGTTGGGGTGAGGAAGTAGATCCTCAAGCTCTCAGCCCCTGGTGCAGCTGCCTGCTGCCAGGGCCTTCACCTCCAGTGCTGCTGCTGCCTCCAAAGGGGTCGTCCCACCTGGGAGTATCCTCTCCGGTGACTGTCCTATCCAGCAGTGGGTACCCAGCTAAAAGTGGGGTGGATACCAGGCCAAATTTGTTGTCCCCAAGGTCAGAGCCTAAAAGTGGGGACGTGGTCCCATACACCAGGGCATTTGGGGGACTTTGGAACCGGAACTGAGGTCCTGACACCTGGGCCATGTCTGTACAGCCCAAGACCTGTTTCTTCAAAGCTGTGGAGGGTGCCTGGCGTGGCACACAATGGAGGAAGCTCCAGCTCCTTGGCTCCACTGTCAGGGAGGACAGGGGCTCCCTCAGGATCCCTTGAGAAGGGCAGGCCAGGTTCTCCCCAAATACCCACTGCAGGCTGGCTTCTCTCTTGGCCCCAACCAGGGCTGGAATTGTGTCCAGCTAAGTGGCTCCAGCACACATAGCCCTCCGGGTTAACTGAGGGTGCAGCTTCTTCTTGGAGATAGGGCCACTCAGTCCTAGGCCAAAGAGGGTGAGCACCCAGCTGTGAGTCGCACAGGAGGCTTTGGGACAGTCCTACAGGTCCAGGATGCTGGAGGACCTCTCCTAATCCGAACTGCAGTTCATTGTCCCAGCGGCACCTGGAGGAGGGGTGTCAGGTCAGAGGTGGAGATTTGGGAATTGTTCCAAAGATGTCTTAGCTTTAGACACTGCTGTGTGCTTAATGCTCTGACTGGTTTTACATTACCAGGAAGCTTTAGCCTCCAAGGGCAGCTGGGAACGTCAGGGTGGGAATCGTACCCTGACACGTCTAGGAGAATTTAGGAGGACAGCAGGAGTTCCTGGCACGTTCCAGGGCTGACCTGTGCTCACAGCCCTTCTAGGGAAAGGGAGGGAGCTAATTTACTGGAAGAAGCCAGCTCCCACAAATCCACAGATGCTGTGTCAACGCCTCAGAAGGAAGAGGGCAGACCCAGGGCAGAGGGGATATGCTGAGGGAGGAGGTGGCTTGAAAAGTGTTTTGTTCCCTGCTTCTTCATGGCTTCCTCCCACAGGGGCGTCCTGGCCTGCACTCACCACCTCAGACTTTCACGGATGCAGGCGGCATCACCAGCTGGTTCACCCTGAGGGAGAGACGGGCGGGGGTCAGGGTGGCACATCAGCGGGTACTGGGCCCAGGCACGGCTCTGGCACGTGGCATCACTGGGGCCGGTAGACCGGAGGCGCTGGGCAGGGACCTCGTCAGCCCCAGGGGGAGGTGGGAAAGCCCAGGGGTAGGGAGAGGAGAGAGAAAGCAATAGAGAAAAGAAGAGAAAGAAGTCAGAAAGTGAGAGAAGGGTGGGTTCCCAACTCTAAAACCCTGTTAACTCCGGAGAAAAGCTGGCAGGAAAGGGCTTGGCATCTGCCAGCCTGGGCCACCGTGGGCTGGGCTGGGGGCATGGGAAGACCTGGAGACAAGTGTTATGGAGCTGGCCTGGCCTCCAGAAGGTCACCTCGGCCTAGGGGCACAAAGTAACCACTGTCTCTCTCCCCCACCCCCGCTCTAGGGTAAAAGCTGTCACAAGCCCCTGGTTCACAGCATGCCCGTCCCCACCCTACTCACTGCTGCTCAGCCTTGGCACGATCACTGAGGAAGAAGAGAGCAGTGGCAAGGAAGAACATGCCACCCAGGACCACCACAAAGGGGCACAGCATGAGGGCATAGCCCAGGCTCAGGAACTCCCAGAGCGGGGAGTCCTTGGTGCTCTGGCGGATTAGGTCTGAGATCTGTGGAGATTGGGGTACAGGTGTCAGGACAGGACTATCTTCTGCGCCCCACCCCAGGCAGGCCTCACCCTCAGCCACTCACAAAGCCAATGAGGTAGGGGCTGCCAGCGTCCCCCAGCAGATGGGAGGTGAAGCTCTGCAAGGCCACGGCAGTGGCTCGGCGTGTGGGGATGACGACATACTGCAGGAGGAAGCGAAGCTCAGGCTAGACGGTCCAGGGCCGTGTCTAGGCTCGTCTCTGCCGCTGTGACACTTCCGAAGCCCCACTGCTTCCCATCCTGGTATCCTCACCCATCCCACCCAGCCCTGTACTTCCCTGCCCACCACATAGGCATGGCTGCTTTTGTCAGCTCCTTGGGGCCTCTTCTCCATCAGAGCCTCCTCTATGGAATCTTGCAGCACCCACATGCACCTGCAGTCCCTATCACCCTGACGGCTCTGACAGGACCTCCTCCTCCTCAGTGATGGGGATCTGAACCTCCCTCCCTACCACATTCAGCCATGGAGCACAATTTGGGCATCGGTTAGCACAGGTCTTGAGGCCAGAGCTCTTGGAGCATGGAGGAATTGAACTGAAATGCCCAGAGGCACTTTTTCTTTTCTTTCTTTCTTTTTTAAAGATAGAGCCTTCTTGCTTACCCCAGACTGACCTCAGCTTGCTATGCTCCTGGAGACAACCTTCATTTCTGGGGGATCACATGTGGAGTTGTGCAACTCTGGACACAGGATTCTGGCCTCTAGGCTTCCTGCCCTCCCTTTCTATAAGCTAAACACCTGTCTTGATTCCCTCCCATGAGGACTTGGCAAGGCTTATGCTGTCTGAGGTAGAGAGGATGTGAACGAGGATCCTGCCCCTAACAGCCTCTATTTGAACTCAAGCACCCCAACGCAGGAGGCTAAGAACCACTGGGCCCAAGGCCGTCCTGGACTAGACACTTTAAAACAGATGGCAGAGACTAGGACATAGTACCAGTGTCCCTTGCCCTGGGCTCCAGCTACTCTCTGTCCATGACACCTGTCACTGTGCACAGCTGGAGCAGCCAGTATCCTCAAAGTATCCTGCTGGTGGTGAGGGGGCAGGGAGGATCTAGACCCAAGGGTATAGCATGGCCCCATTTCCACCACTAATTAGTCACTTAGACACTTAACTAAAACTGGGACATGATTTCCCTGGGACCCAGACCCTGCCGACAGCTCTCAGGGGCTGATGGGGGAGGGGGTTGTTGTCAGGAGAGGGCATGATGCCCAGTCCCAAAGATGCTTGATGAGTCTTGCCACCCGCACTCAGGTAGTGCAGTGGCCCAGCCCTGGCCCTGAGCTTGCCCAGCTCCTTGTTCAGGCACGTATCCGAGTGCCCCCCTCCTCTCCAGAGTGCGCAGATGGGAGGAGAACAGAGGCCTGGGTGCGTGCGGGACACAGGCATGTAGGAAAGTGCAGAGTGGAGCAAGGAGGGCTTCCTGGAATGGAGGAACCACAGAGGCCTGAGCACCAGCCCTGCGTGCCCAGAGGTATTTCTCCCCACGCCCCACACCTACCACTCCATCTCCAGTCCTCCGGAGTCTTCTGACCCCCATCTAGTGGTCCCCACAAGGGCCAAGGACAGGAGTCACACTCACTCCTGTCAACCCTGCTTCACTCAGAGCTACAAGTCACTAGGCCCACTGCCCCTCCCTTGTCCCTCCTGTCCCCACCCAGGAACACAAGACCAAGCAGGCTGCTCAGACAACCCTTTGTCCCTGGCCTGCTGGTCTGGAGGCCATTGTTGGGCCCGTAAAGACAGCCTCTGTCTGTGTAGCCAGCCGCAGGCACTCAGCAGGCATGCCTGGGACCCAGCCTGAGCTGGCAAAGCAGAATGCAAGGACACTCCACTCCTGGGGGAGGAGTGCTGGCAGGCAGCACCACCTCGGTGCCAGCCTGGCACCACCAGCCTCCTAGCCACAAACCTGAGATTGGAGACAACGCTGCCCTTGCACCCCAACATCTACCTGCTCAATTCTGTTTCCAGGCCCTCCCAGATCTGACCCCCATATATCTCTGGTCCCCTTCCTGCCTCTGGGTTCACCTCTCCCACCAACAAGAACTACTTTCTCTTCACCCACCCTCCAAGCCACCCCAATGAAGTTTAGAAGCCTGAGTCACTTCTCAAACTCAAACTTTCTAAGCACAAGGTGACTGTGGCCTTCCTGGCTTACCATGAGGATGTCTGCAGTGATGGCCCAGTTAGAAAACAGCAGTGTCTCCCCAACAAAAATGCAGATCTATTCACAGAGGAGAAAGCAACCATGAGGGGCACAGGGCAGGGACATAAGTCCATCTCTATGGGGACAGAGGGTCCAGCAAGTCATACTGCACCTCTAGCCCATCCCCAACCCAACCTCCCCTGCACTCACATAAGCTCCCACAATGCTAGTCTTGGCAGCCACAAAGATGAGGCAGATGAAGATGGCAGATCCCAGCATGCCCACAGCACACACTAGTGGGTCAGCACGCTGAGTCCGCAGACGGCACCAGCGAGTGGCTCCCGCACCTGTGACTACACCCAGGAAGCCAGTAAAGCAGGTGATGGCGCCAAAGATGAGGCTGTAAGGACAAAGAACAGTGATTTGAGCAAGGCTGTGGTTGAGACAGAGGCATCCAGTCCCTTGCTACCAGGCTTTACCTGTCTTTGGCGCCACATGGTGGGCTGTTACAAGTCTCTGCTGTCTTTTGTACAACTTGAGCACGGTGCAGGTAGAGGGGAATCCACATGCCCAGGGCCCCTGTGGCGAAGGACACAGCAGATGTGGCCAGGGAGGAGAAGACGTAACTGCGGCTGGGGGAAAATCCAGGGAGGAAAAGTGAGCCGGCCAGCCCAGGAGGCAGCCTGTCCCCAGAGCCTGCCTCATCCCCCAGACAGAAATGCTCTTTCACAGGCCTGGGAGGGTTCAGGGTACAGGAACAAATGCCATTCAGCTCCACAGGCCATGGGTGGCAGGTCAGCTGGCCCCTCCTACCACACCCTGCACACACGGCAGCACTCACTTTCGGATCAGAGCCTTCATGTCTCGGAGCCATGAGGTCCGTGCTTTGAGCTGGCCCCCGAGTTGATCAGCATGGCCTCTCTTAGTGGCTGGGACCAAGATGAGAATGAGTGTTCCTGTGATCATGCCCAGGACGGGGGATACCTGGTAGGATGGGAAATTGAAGTTTAAATGCCAAATTGACTCTGTGCTCCACAGGAGGGCTGAGGCAGCTCATCTGGGCTCAAGCCCTTTTCCTAGGATAATATTTGCCTAGCGGAGTAACAGAAGGGCTGAGCAAAGCCGCTGGGGATGAGGCCAGGGAAGTGGTTACAGGGCTCAAAGTGCACAGTCCAGACCAAAGGCAGGACAGGAAAACAGGTTCAAGGAAGAGTGACCAAGTTTGGGAATGGAAGGAAGAATGAGGGAAAAAAAGGGAGAGAGGAGGAGGAAACGAGGGCAGAGAGGGAGAGGTGGCTGAACAGATGGATGAGAATAGACTGAAGAACAAGGAGATGGATAGATAGATGCTCTCACGCATGAACGGGTGGACAGATGGGTTGATGAGTAATAAAGGAAAAAAGACAGGTAGGTGAAAAACACAGGGAATGATGTGTTTGAGTGGAAGAGTTCATTCATGGTGGTAGAGAGCCATATACTAACTTGCTTAACCCCTGGGGTAGGAATGTTCCAAGATGTGTCCCTTAAACATGGACCTTAGGGAGGGACTGCCCAGGCAGGTGGCCTTGTTCTTTACAGGGCCCTCTATGGGCTTTGGGTCTTCCCTGTGTCTGACCTCACATGAAGAATGAAATCCCTGCCAATAGCAGTGGCGCATGCCTGTAATCCCAGCACTCAGCAAGGCAGAGGCAGGCAGATCTCTGTGAGTTGGAGGCTAGCCTGGTCTATAAAGGGAGTCCAGGACAGTCAAGGCTACACAGGGAAACCCTGTCTCCAAAAGCTAAAACACAAACCAAAAAATGAAATCCCCAAACCTCTCTCCACACAGAACCAAACAACCATCCCAGGAGAAAAGAGAAGATTGTTTCCCCTGGGTCTGGATGTTGTGAGCTGAGAGGCTCTTCTGCAGGCACTCCCCATCGCCACCCCATGGCTCACCCCCCTCCCCGTCATGAAATTCCACGGTGGCTGCTTCCTTCCTGCTTTTGAGGAAAAAACACTTTGTCTTAAGCTTCCGGTCCTCTGAGAGACAGGGGATCTCTGTTTCCTCCGATTGCACTGTCCTGGGGCCTTGGTGACTTGCCCCAACCCTCCAACAGAACAGGAAGTGGCTCCAGAGCCGAAGGACCCTCACACAGAGGTCCTGTCCCAACCTCGCCCTAGAACAGAGGCTGGAAGCAGGAAGCTACGCTGTGGACCTGGAATTTCCTGACATGGTGAGAGAATCCCTACCCTCTCCACTCCCGGGGGTTGGGGATAGGGTTCCAATCCTGGACTGAGGCCCTGTGATGGCAGGACTGTCTAATGCCCCTGATACCTCAGTCTGAACTGATCTAGAGAGACAAGGCCTTAGAGTCCAGGCTAGAGAGAGAGGAAGCATGGAGGTCTCAGCCTGGCCTCTGCGGATAAGGACTGGAGTGGGGAGGAAACAGGAGGGGACTGAGGCCTTACCCTCAGAGCCCAGTGCCAGTCTCCGGCTGCCTGCTTCACGCTGGAACCTGTGATGTAGCCCAGGCCGCTGCAGACAAGACAGACTTATGTCGGCTAGAGTAGCGAGGCTGAGTGGGAAGTTCTTGCCTTCCTCCCGCCCAGCCAGCCTGTGGAAGAGCAGGTCTAGGAGTCCTCGATAGCTGCCTGCTTCCATGTCTGCTTCCTGCAGGTGTTGGTGAATTCGAGGGGACCTTAGGGCTCTTCCCACTAATCATGGAGCACCATACTTACCTTCCCAGTGGGATGGCAAAATAGAAGACTGATAGCATAAGCGTGCGTGTATTCTTGGTAAACAAGTCACCGATGATGGTGGGTGCTATGGTGGAGTAGCTGGCTTCACCGATCCCTACTAGCCCTCGGGACAGGACTAGCAGCCAGAAGTACTGTGGAGGAGGACAGAGAATGCTGAGGGTCAGGTCATTCTTAGGCTGGCTCATCCCTATCCCATTACACCGTAGCCCCGGCAGGATCCAAGAGCCAGGGGGGAGATGAAGTCGGACTAGCCTCAGCAGTGACCATAGCCACAGGCCACGCAGGGCCCTGGGATACCATCAAAATGATGAATGTAACTGGGACTGGTCATTCCCAGGTTGGGAGAAGACAGGGCTCTGGGTTCCTAGAAGCACCAGGGACTACTGTCCACTTGGGGCATCTTTGCATCTCTGGCTTCACCTCAGGATTCCAAAGTCACCTTTGCTCTGTGCTCCTCTCCAAGCAGGGAGTCTGGACCACACTGGCCACACTGAGGACCCACTGTGGGGGGGAGAGTGGGCACAGCTGCCTACTGGGCTCAGAGCCCCTCTGCCATGCACACATCAAAGGCCAGCAATGGGGGAAGGGTGTGGCCATGCCAGCTGCCAGTGGTCCGACCCTTTTGAAGTGGACTCACCCTCCTCCAGCCCCCAGCTGCCCAGGGAGAACCCCGCTGGCAATGATTTCCCCATCCCACCCTTCCCACCCATCCGGCCAGCAGTGCCCACATCCAGCGTTCCCCTGCTGTCCCTGCTGTCTCCCTCCAGCCCTTTCCGGCCACCTCTCTGTCCCCGGCTATCTCTGCTGGGGGCTGCTGACCCTCCACCTTGACCTCATCTCTCTCCCTGGTTCCTTTCCCTGAAGATCAACTGCCCACAGCCTTTGCCTATTTCTCTTGGGTTGTCTTGTCTGTTTTGTATAGATCTACATTAGCTTTTCCTACATTCCAGGACTAGGTCCTTGTCATCTGAGTCACCAATGTCCTCTCAGCCTTTTCTTTCCTCTGTTTACCCAGTTGCACCATCCGCAGACTTCCTGATGTCTAACTTGATGTTGTCAAATCTTGGTTTCTTTTCCTCCTTGCCTTGTTCAAGAAAGCCTACTGCAGCTCCAAAAACATCCTCTTCTATTTAGGGTATAAAATAATTTGGAGAGGGACATCAATCTTTCTCAGCACTTTAGCCAAAACAGCTCCTTCCCTACCCCACACAGGGGCCTGCAAGATTGATGCCGTCTCTGCCGATGCTGCAAACTTATGTCCCAAGAACCAGCACTTCCAACAAACTGACAGATGCCTCATCATCTCTTAGATATATGAACAATGACTGGCATCAGCTCCTTCTGCCACTAGCCAGTCAATATAACACACCTTGAGAATCTGCACAGGCCCAAGGGTGGTCACCCGAGTCATCCTTTCTTTCCTTCCTTCTCCTTGTGTGTGCATGAGTGAGTGCAGGTACACAGAGATACCAGGAGTCATTCTCTATCATTGTTCTCCATCTTATTTTTTGAAATAAGGTGTCTCACTGAACCCGGACTCAGTGGGCCCCCAGAAGCCAGCTGTCCCAGCCCTGGGGTTACAGGAGCACACACACTTGGCTTTTACACAGACTGCTGGGCTCTGACTCAAGCACTCTTATACACTGAGCCATCTTTCTGGCCTTTCTTTTCTTTCTTTTAAATATTTTGTTTTGTTTTGCTTTTTGAAAAGCTCTGGCTGTCCTGGATTCGCTCTGTAGAACAGGCTGGCCTCAAACTCATAGAGATCTGCCTGCCTCTGCCTTGCAAGTACTGGAATTAGAGGCGTGCACTAAAGATTTATTTTTAATTATGTGTATGCAAGAGTGTTTGTGGTGTGTGTGTGTGTGTGTGTGTGTGTGTGTGTATGCTGTGCCAGAGGCCAGAGGGCAAGAGGAGGAAGATAGATGCCCTGGAGCTAGAATCATAGGTGGTTCAGAGCCACACTGTATGGAGAGCAGTAAGTCCCCCTAACCACTGAGCTTTCTTTTCATCTTTTTTTTTTTTTTCCTGTCCCCTAGGAGAATCCTCACACTTGTTTGTCCACACACTGGAGTGTTTCTTGGCTGTGTCCCTCCAGACAGAAGCTGGGCTATGCAGGGACACAGCAGGAATTTACAGTATCTTGCCATTGTGATCTCCAAAGAGGCTCTTCCAATATCCGCTCCCACCAACAGCAGGCATCTTAGCGTCCCCACAGCTGTACCAACACTTCGCATTGTCAGCTTTAATTGCTGATGATCTGATTGGTGTGAAATGGTATCTTGCTGTTGTTCTGCTCTTCATTTCTCTGATTCCTCCAGGGGCTGAGATACCTCTTCCTCCACTCATCCGCCACTGGGCATGTGGAACGCCCTGGAAACCCTTTGCTTATTTTCCCATCAGTTATTGTCTTTTTCTTGTTGGTTTATAGTGGAGGTTCCTTAGTCTTGTTTTGGCTTTCACATCCTCACTTGAAGTTTATTCTGCATCATGGTTGACATAGTTCCATAACTGATTTTTCAGTCATGAGGGGTCACCCATTTTCCTTGGTGCCACTGGTGAGAGATATGCCCTCAGCCAGCTCTGGCTCCTCACTCCCCAGGGACTCGCTTCATGGATCAGTCCTTACTTAGTCTGTCCCTTGGTTGCTTTAGCCATAATGTTCATTGTTTTAACAACTGATAGGGCAAGCCCATTCACTGTTATTTTTTCATTGTTCTTGGCTGATTGAAGTATTTTCTATACCAAATTAACTTTAAAGTCACATTTCCAATGTCCCCCAAAAGCCCCTGTGGTGCTTGGATGGTGATCACAGTGAGTTCACAAAGCAATTGAAAGTGAACTGTTTCTCTCTTTGCCTCTACTCATCTCTTCTCCCCTACAGAGAGGGCATCAAGACTCATTGATCAGTCCCAGAAGCAGTCCCAGCCAGGGACCGTGCTCAGAGAGCACCGAAGACTCCTGGACTAGCCTTTGTTTCTACAGTGGCCACCAGGATCCATTCTGCAGTGGGTCTGGAGTTGACACCTCCCTGGAGCAAAGGCTGCCCTACAGACCTGTCTGATCCACTTCTGAGCATCTGGCTCCTCCTTGTCCTTTGGACTCTTCCAGGGCTCAGCACTATCATAGCAAGAAGGGCTCAGCCTCAATCCTGGCACTCAAGGCCCTCCTTGACCTGGCCTCCGCCTTCCTTTTGCCATGACACCCTTGCCTTTCTCTCAACACCATCCACCATCCCTGCACCTCTGGGTCTGGTCCCCTGCCTGTGTCCTTATCACTGTAGGTCCTGGCTTCCAAGTCATGTCTGCTAGATTCATGTCACCTCCTTCCAGGAAGCCTTCCTGGAATCCATGGAACACAAAGGGACAGTTCCCCTTCAATGTTTGGCACTTTGCACATCATGAAGGTGGAAGCCTGAAGATACTGTTTCATTTTCCAGCCCTCAAGGAAGGGATGGACAGAAAGTTCTTGAGGACAGATGTTGCTTCTTCTTGTTCTTCTTCTTCTTGTTCTTCTTCTTCTTGTTCTTCTTCTTCTTGTTCTTCTTCTTCTTGTTCTTCTTCTTCTTGTTCTTCTTCTTGTTCTTCTTCTTGTTCTTGTTCTTCTTCTTCTTCTTCTTCTTCTTCTTCTTCTTCTTCTTCTTCTTCTTCTTCT